GTTTAATTTGCTTTTTTTTTTGGCACCGAGTATTATTTTTATAAGTGTATGTGTTTGTGTGTTTTTTTTTCACAGCCACAACAAACACATTTATGTAGATTATTTTGTTGTTTCTTCTGTTATTTAAATATATTGTATATCGCCGCTTGTTTTTATTGTTTTTTTTTTTTTTTTTTTTTGTATTTCTTTTTAATTTATTGCGCTCTGCAATTTGCCTGCTTCGTTTATTCGTTGTGCGAGCGAGCGAGCGGCGCAGCACTTGAATTTAATTAGCAGCACATTCAAATTTTTCAATTCACATTTTATATTATTTTTTATGTGCGGTGTTGTCTTTGTTAATTTCAATAATATTGCATTAAATGTTGTTTTTATTGTTGGTGGTTTATTGTTGTTTTAATATTCCTTGGCCTGTGCACGGGTTGAAAAACAACATTAAAAAGGGTCTGCGGCGGCGGGGTTGATCGTGAATCGAAATCAAATTCGAATTTAAATCGAGAAACTCTGAAATTCCGTAGGCCTACGTGCGACGCGTTCGAATGCGTTCAATGTTCTCATCGGCGGGCCGGTTTCTTGTGTGAATGAAACCGAAAGCTCACCCAAATGGGGTGGCCAGAGAGAGGGAGAGCACAGCCCGCCAGCCAAGCAGCGTGAGAGCGTGCAGTCGTATTATGTGTGTTTGTGTGTGTGGTGTGTTTGCTTGTGTGTGGGCGAGCGGCAGAGCGGTGGGCGATCACAATCTGGCGCGTGCAAGCTTCGTTAAAGCTTTCTAGATATTGTATGTGTGTGTGTGTGAGTGTGTTTTTATTTTCTTCTTTGCGATGCGCTCGCTTTTCGGGTTTTCTTGATTATTTCATTATTTGTTGCTTTATTTTATTTTGGCGCCGACAACGCTGACAGCGACGTCGACAGCGTCAACAGCTGTTTTCTGTTTTCGTTCTGGCTGCCTGTTGCTTGCCTCTTGACAGCTAATACTCTTAATATCTGTGTGTGTGTGTGCGAGCAGGCGAAACAGCGATAGTGAGAGAACGGGAGAGCGTGCGACCCAAATCCCAGTGTAAAATGCCTTTATAAATAGCCCGCCCCATGCAAAGTGTGGGAAATTTCGTAAGCTTGCGATTTGGCAATGCAACGAAATGTACCACAAGAATTTTGGTACCAACATTTTCCTGCAAACTTGAACGTAACCGTAACGAGCTCAGGTTGAGAAATGCCTCTTGAAATTTGTTTACGGCCACATTTTATGCGGGAAAACAAATTAGATTTATGAGCCCAACTGTGTGGCAGCAGAGGCAAGTGGGAAAATTGTAGAACGTTTTAATACTAACGTATAGGTGCATTTTTGTGGCACAGTTAGGTTAGGAGTAGGGGGGAAATTTGAAATGGAAAATGGTAGCGACTAGAAAATTTATTAAAAATAGTTTCCGTTTTTAAAATATTTGCTTAAATTTGAATAAACATGTAGAAAGAGGTAATTTAATCCCTAGGAAGTTTAATTTATCGTATTTTTTTAAGAAATTGTCCACTGCATTTATCATCTCACATAAACGAAAGCTCTTGCGCTTTATTATTTAATTTCATTCATAAATTTTCCATATTTCCATGCTTCATCTATATTTCTGTTGTTCTTTGTTTCATTCACAATTCACGAATACGTAAAACCCAAAATATTTGCAATGTTTTGTTTAACCTCACGTGATATTTCTCTATTTCCTGTGCTACAAAACGCATTTCAATAGGAAAAACAACAATTAAAACGATTTTATTCGCCGTTTTCCGTTCGCCGTTTGCCTGTTTTTCTTTTGACACCTATTTTGCATTAAACTCGAATTCAAATTTAGTTTTCTTTTTTTTTTCAGATGTTTCGTCAGTCAAAGAACGTGAAATCTCTTGTTTACATGCTCGAGATGTATAGGGATATATGTATATATATATGGTATACACATAAGAATATAAAGAAATGTAGCTATGTATATATGTGAAAATTAAAGAAAAACAACGCGTGGCCAGTGTGAAAAATTTGACGTTGGGGTTTTCATAGCCACCAAAAGTCAAATGATTAATTAGACGAGCTGCTCAAATACTTGTACATATACATATGTATGTATATGTGCGAGGGAAATATATGGGAAAACCATGAAAATTCGTTGGCAATTTTCTAGAACAAGCTCTCTCGGTTACCTTTCAAATTTTTGTTGCGCTGAGTCAAACGAATTTTGGCGCCCGACTGTCAAAAAAAAAAAAAAAACCAAAATTAATTCTTGCCCAACACCTAGAAATTTATATGCTTTATGCATTAGATATTGTCCATCTAGTATATGATGAGTCGAACTGTGGATAAGCCCTCCGTATTTAAATGTCTCGTAAACAACAAACTTTCGTCACGTTTCGCCGACATTTGGTTGGGGCCAGCCGCTCATAATGCATATCAAATGACGTGTGCCAAGTTTAGATTGACGTTTAGATAAAAAACACGGATAGATAAGTGTGCTTGAAAAAAGATAATTTGTTGTTTTACAGATAATGTAATACAGTTCCAAGTGTTTTTATCAGCTGAGTCTATTTTAAGATGCCTCTGAGATTGTTTTTAGAACAAATAGAATAATATATATGCTAATGGAAAAGCGGAAAAGTTGGAAAAACCAATGAATATTTAAAGTCTTTAATACAAGCTACTTCCAAGCGATATTATCAAGCGAGCATGCTAAAACTATCGATGTATTTTCATCGATTTGTAAATTCTTAACTCAAATTTAAGATTTATAGAAACAATCTTCGAAATGGATCTATTATTGCTCAAAATACAACAAAATTTAGTCATAAACAAAGTACATTCTAATTTTATAAACATATATGACTTAATTAAACTATGCACACAAATTAAATACACACATATTTCTATTTGAATCGCATTAAAAAAAAAAAGAGCTTCTTTTCATGAGATTTGATGTTGCAAAAGCCGAAATATTAATATAATTTTCCAAAGGCAACGAAAGGCAAATTAGATTTATGAGTCCAGCTGAGCGGCAGCAGAGCTGGCAAGTGAAAAAATTGTGGAAATATTTATGGAACATTTTATAGCTAACGGATAGGTGCATTTTTGTGGCACAGTTACGTTAGGATTGGGGAAAAGTGGGCGTGGCAAATGGTTGCGAGAGCACAGTCAGCTTGCCTCTGCTGTAGATACTGGAAAACGTATTACAAATAGTTTTGGTTGTTGAAATATTTGAAATATTGAAAAATGTTGTTTTTTTTATTCAAAATTGTTGACTCTATTGGCTTTGACTTTCTCAAACTATTACGAAATGCTTAAGATGAATTTTAAGCCAAAAGAAAGGGAAACATGCTTAATATTAAAAGAATTAATAAACTATGATTTTTTTTACGAGTTGTGACCTTTAAAAATGCTTAAAATGTTGATAGAAAAATATATGTATTTCTTATGTGGTTAACTTTTAAAAAAATATTTAAGCTAAGATACGAGTTCTTCCCTTTCGTTAGACTTCCTTTTCATAGACTCCGTTGTGGAGCATTTTATCAGTGAAAAAAAAAAGCCCATTTAACAAATTGCAGTCAGTTTTGAGAGTAATCGTTGCAGTCATAAACCTAACGAGCATTTAATTAAGTAACCATAAATGATTGCTCTTTATAATGCCGGTTATCTTTATGGAACAACAAACCTCTTTGGACTGTGGCATAAATATGCACAATAATACAAAGTTTGGGGCGTGGCACATGGGGCTGGCTGTCCAAAATTATGAGCACTAATTCCAATTGACGTAGTTTATTGAGCAATTCAAGAGCAGATTCTAAATAACCACTCACGATTTATTCACTATTAAATGCAGGCTTTGTTAATTGACCGCATAATTGACGCACATGATTCGACGAGCTCCACAATTTCTCAGTGTTAAATGCAAAAATAACATCCGAAAATCTTACTCAAAGGAACCGTGACTCATTTTTAGCTCGAAGTCCCTTTTTAAATATAAATAAAGTCCTAAGCATCTGCTTGAAAGTAAAACAACTGAATGTTATATTTTTTGTTTTTGTTGAGGGTTTAAGTTTACAGTTATGTTCCTAGAAAAAAATCTCTATAGATTTGTTTTTTATAAAGACTTCTTTAATCGATGTGCATATATTTTGAAAGTCTTGTTATCAGAAAAATATTTATATAAAGAATTTAAGAAGATGCTGTTTTTAGAAAAACAGAACGTCTTTTGATTTAGTAACTATAAATTATTCCTTAGCCGATTTCAATTTATGCTAAAACTGCGTTTTCGTCATATTTTCATATTTTCCACAAAAAGTCTATCAAGCGTTTTCCCCCGAAGAGCAAACGCTAAAAACCTTTAAACTTGTTCAGCGAATTGCATTTCCCGGTATCTGCCCAGCCAATATATAAACATATGCATGTATATATGTCTAAAGAAACGAGTCGAAAGCAAAATGCAGACAAGTTTTCAATTGAAATTCAACAACAATAAATTACAACAAACAAATAAAATTATTGTGACATGATCTAATGTGCAATTTTTAGAAGAAAAGCGGAAACAATGCGAAAAGAAAATTGACAAGTGAAAAGCTAGCAAAGCCAGACGCCAAGCGAAAAGCTTAAGAACAACAATGCGGTGGGGGGGGGGGGCATATAAAGGGAGGAGGGGGGAGGGGGGACTGTTGGTGTAGCGAGCATGCAAATTGCAAATGCAATTTATTAGACCCTTTCTTTGGGCTGCCCCGTTGACTGTTGACGTTTGTCGGTTGACGACATTGTCGGGGTCCCGCATGTGTTGCCAACAACAACAACAACAACAAAAGCAACAACAACAACAAAAAGAACAACAACAATTACAATTACAACAATAATACAGCTACAACTGACCGCTGCATCTAAATTTAAATTTTAACAAATTGAAGAAACCGCAACCCAAAACACGTTCAACCATTTTTTTCTGATTTTTATTTTTATTTTTATTTATTTATTTTTTTTTTTGGCAGAAAATTCGTTTTGTTGTTGCTGATTTTGTTGTGTTGATTTCCAATTGACAAAGTTTGCTAATTGGAACAACGCGTATTTTAAATTTGAATTCAGCTTAAAATTAACAAAGTCTAAATTTAGTTGCAGTTCTCCGCCTAGAGATGATCTTTGGACTTTGTTACACATCCAATTTCAAGGCAGTCAAAAAGAAAAACAAAGCCAGCAGGTAAGGACACACCGAAAATTTAATACCCTGATAGAGATATCCCTCTTTCAGATATGTGAGAATCATAAGACCAGTTCGCATAGAAACATTCAGACGAACGGACGGACCTGGCTGATCAAGAATATATATAATGTTCCTATAGAAATAAGAACCTACTGTGGACTTTACAAAGAAAGGAAGAAAATAGCCTTAAAGAAGGGCCTATAATTTGTTATTAAATATTTACAGCTATTACTTGACAAATAAACTTTTGACTGGATCAGCGTTAGATCTAGATAATCTTGTAATATTTATAATACACACATTGGAAGGTATTTTAATTGCAGGGCGTTCGGCATTCTCCTAAGATTTTAACTATTTTCTGGTAAGATCAGAGCAAAGTTTACTATCGTAGTCATAAATATTATCTTAAACTAAATATGATTTAAAGCTTAAGTCGAATGGGAAAATGTATGTGAAGTTTTTTGTATGAATTGTATATAACTATGTTTCTTTATATGCAAAGATATATTTAATTAATAAAATGATCAAAAGGAAGAACTGAAATCGCATTCAAGTTTGTTGGAAAACTATATTTAATAATTTTCATATGAGATGTTAGATATAACAGTTTATAACAGAGATTATCTTTATTAATTTGACTAATAAAATTTCAAAATAATTCAAATTCTGACATTATCTGACGAGAGTCAGAGAGCGGGAGAGAGAGAGAGAGAAACAAATGATGCCTGCTTTTGGGCAACTTTTGAATGTCAGCCACACGCTTTGACAAAAGCACGATTTTGAATTGTTAATCAATTAAATTATTTACGGGCTTCTTCAACAAGGCTGCTGCTGCTTCTTCTTTCAGCGTTTGCTATAAATAAAATACGCACGGAGCAGAGAGTAGGCTCCTCCTCCTCACCCCACCCCATCCGCCACCCGTTCCGGCACATGTTAAGCCGCAGAAATTAGCACGTTTTTGGGCCATAAACCAAAACAAAGAGCACATGACAAGAGTCCAGAATAAAACCATCTTCAAAGTGGGTTTACGAAATATTTTTGGGGCGTAGCCTGGCTCAAATGCTGGTAGTTTTCCGCGTGAAAATATTTGAGAAAACAAAAAAAAAAAAACAAAAATGGCAGATTCTTTGTTCGATTTGCAGTTGCATATTAATTAAATTTGCGATCTAAGTGGGCGGCAGCTGTTGGATCCGAGCGGGTGCCGTGACCAAATTGTTTAGTGCTTTATAAAAATAACAAAAAATCGAATAAAAAACAAACAAAAAAAAAATCAAATCTAATTTATTTAGTCGTGCGAAATGAACTAATTAAGCAATTGATTAGTTTATAGCGCCGAGAAATGCGTATATCTATTAGCTAACCCCCTATTGGCACCTCTTTGAGCCTGGTACTGGGCAGTAAAATGTTGATATATAGATATATATATACACATGAAAATGTGGATCAAAGATCAGCAGCATGTGAGAATTGTGAGAATAGGGGCTTGTTTTTGTTTTTTAGCAGTTCGCAACAGGTTTTTGCTATTTATTTTGCATTGAAAATTCGCAAATTAAATTTAATAAAATCAAAATACAACATTTGCTGTTGGTTTTCTATAAAATTTATAAAGGTTTCTATAAAAAATGCATGTTAAAATATTAAACAAATATTTTTGAAACATTTTAGTTTACAGCGTTTTGTTAAGTCCATTAAACTTGCATAGTTAAAGCGCGCAGATAATAATAAATAAAACGCATGCATGAATATTCAATTTTAATATTTTGTTTTGAATTTACAGCGTATTGTTTAGTCTGTCATCAATGCATAGATAACGCTGGCTTGTGTTTTTGTTAATATCTGCTTCGTTCTACTTTTCAAAAAGTATTCAAGTTTTTCAATAGACCCAACAACAGCTGGCAGCATACGCGGCGTATGCGCAATATAATGTGCCTTAATGATGCGTCTGACTGACGGACTGACTGACTGATTGACTGATTGACTGATTGACTGCTTGACCAACTGACTAAGATATTGAACGCATGCGACTTATGTCGCGAGGTGCGATAATTAACGAGTTGTCATTTTAAAGCCAATTTTGGTTTAATGTGCATTGCGATTGCAGTTTGAAGGCTGCTGCACGCACACACGCACATACATAACAGACGCACGCACGCACGCACGCACACACACACACACATATATGCGCTCAGTGCGTATGCAATACAAACATAAAGCAATTTTGTACAGCAGTCAACAGAGCACGCGACTCGTTTCGTTGTTTTTGTTGTTCTTGTTGTTGTTGTGGTCGTAGAGTTTGACAACTTTTGGGCAAAGGCGCGCGCGTAACGTTCGTAAGTAAACCGCAACGCCCGAGGGTTGAACTGAAACTGAGCGCAACGTTCGATCGCCGCACGCCGCTCAGCAGCAGCATCAGCAAAGCAAGAGTTGAAGAGAGCGCAGCACAAGTTGCGCTCACGGGCATGCGGACAGGTGCAGTGTGGCCGCACAGAGCGCACAGCTAATTGTTTAGCCAAACATTGGGGCGGTCGCAAAAAGCTTACGGCCAAAGCTTTTAATTAGATAAAGTCAAACAGGCAAAAACACTAAATTAGCCAAAAGCTTTGCTAATTTCAATTGAAGTTTTAGTTTTAATTGCCGCTCTCTCGCTGTCCCTCTCGCTCTCTCTCTCTCTTTCTCTCGGTGCAGTTCGTTCAACTTCAGGTGCTGTCTGTTAAGAGTGTGTCAATAATGTGCAAATTTCTCTTACATTCCTGCCGGAACTGTTTATTGTTGATTCTTGAGCAATTAGCCACTTCTTCCTCTTCGCTTCTTAGCGGCTGACAACAGCTCAATGGGCCATAAATGCAATCGCTGCGCAAAATATTGCTATTTCAATTTATAACGCAGTCACAATTGCCGTTTAATTGATATGGAAATGAGTGAAGTGTGCTTTAGCCATGGTTAAGTCAGCCTAATGCCGCATCAGGTGATCTTAACTCTAATTGGCGGTTTTGAATGTGACTCGTTTTATACCCTGTACCCATTGATAGGGGCTAAAATTGGATATTATGTTTAAGTGCAGATATTCTATCATATACTATCTGTCATCTATCTATCATCGATAGCAAAATTCGCTTTCTCTAAATCGATAAGTATCGATTCTCAGCTTGGTTTTTCTGATCATTTTTCGAAGCAATCATTGATCGGCATCAATTATATAGTCGAACCAGCCTCTTTATTTGTGTTTGAAACGTAATTCCTTCCTGCTATTAAATCACGTTCCGATCACGTCAAGTCCAAGTTATCGATAGCACACTTTGTTTTCACTAGATCGATAAGTATCGATTTTCAGCTTAGCTTGTCTGACCTTATTTCGGAGTCAATATACCCTAGAGACTTACAATTTAGCATGTATAAGGATTGGACTGTAAAACAAAGTGTGGAGCTAACGTTAAAGTGTGCAAGAAAATTACAGGATATCCGCTATTTGGATACTTTTACCCCCGTTCGTTGGCGCTGTTATGCAAGGCGCAACAAGGTGTGAATCAAAGCCGTCGCATGCGACTATAAAAATGATATTCAGGTGACAGTTAACAAACATTCGACGGGGCAGATAATGGAATAATGCGAAAACGCTTGGGAAATGAAATAAACAAAAACAAAGCGCCGACCAAGTAAATATTAATGGGGGACTTAAGAAATAAAGAAAATATTTAAAAAACAGATGTGTAAAGAGTTTCTTATCTTTTGGCTTGGGTCTTTGTTCATGGCTTGGCCTCTCGATCAATTTGGCATCTATTGCTTGGTCAAAATGCATAGGGAAATGGTACCCTCAAATATCCTAAATAGATCAAAATTTCCCACTTGCATAACTCGGTCAAAACTCAACCGATTTTCATAGGGCTTAGCTTGTTGTTCATGATTTGACCTCTATATTAATCTGTCAACATTATTTTTCAAGTCACTCTCAATCAATTTGGCATCTAAATCCATATTCTTGGTCAAAATTTATGTGAATATGGTAACGTCAAAGGAAACAAAAGGGAAGTTTTTCAGGCTAGAAGACAATCATTTTTATATTTCGTTGATCCAACAGTCGCGTCCATATTTGCATTTTAACCAAATTGATCCAGCGAAATTTTAAAGCATACTTTCGGGCAGCTGCACAAAAACGAACTGCCAGCAACAATCCTACTCGCGCACGCCTTAAAACGCTGCATACTTTTAGGAGCAACAAACATCTATTCAGATATATTGGCGTGCTGTTAAAATAATGAATTATATGCTAGATACTAGTATTTTAATTGCCAACAACTGCAAATGTATTATTAAAATGGGCATTCAACTTAAGGCTAAGTGCGAAAAGTATACAATCTGTATGTAAATTGCTCTTAAAATGCCAAAAAGGGGACAGCTGCAATAAATGCGGCGGCTGCTGTTTGCAATCCACTTCTACGCGCCTTCCCCCACACGCCGCATTTGCATCGTGGCTTCTATTTATCTTGGCAGAGCGCAAACAATGTTATCTGGTGCAGAAGAGAGCGCACATAAAAGCTACAAATATAAAGAGAGAGCAAGAGCGAGGGGCTGCATACAATTTGCCGGCTGGCAGCTTTTGTAACTAAAATAAAACCAAGTTGCGGTTGTTGTTGTTGTTTTTGTTGTTGCTGCAATTGCTTTTGTTTTTTTCTTTTTGTGAGGCATTTGAAAATGAAAAGAGCACGTAAACAAAAAGCAGATGAGAGAGCGCTTTGGCTGAGTACGTGTGACGACACTTAGTGCTTGACCTCAGCGTAGAAACACACACACAGACACATGTCTGTGTGTCTTTGTATAGAAACAAATGTGTAATTAGCAGCGCCGCTGTTGACAGTGGGGCCAAAAACAAAAAAACTGAACAAATGAAATTGTTTAACATTTTGCCCGCTGCTGCCTAACGGCCAAATGTTAATGGCCAACATTTATCGATTGCCTGTGATGGATTAGTCCGCTTTAATGGGAGCCAGCTCTTGCGTTGCGCCAATGAAAATGGAAAATTGAATTGGGAATTGGGAATCGCCTCCACGTTGCCATCAATCAGTGCCGGCAGCTGGCGGATTTCAACAGCTGTTCGTCCACACAGACAAGCACTACAAATATTTATGGCTTTCAATTAGACGTGCATTTGACTTTGATTCCCATATCTAGTGAAAGGCTATATAAATAAGGCGGGCAGGGGGATGATAATTAGTCAATTGAACTAAACTTTAGTTCTTTAGTATTTTTGATTATTATTAATTTTCAT